ACACATAACAACAAAACGCAACAAACAAACAAAACAAAAAACACGAAAAACCCAAAACAAAATAAAACAAAAACCGTCAGAACCTAAACTTTAACAGGGCTATTGGCTTTGAAAAGTAATGACACTGTTCGTGTTGTTTCTCTTCCGACTCACGCACTTTCTTTCCAATTCTCTTGGCTTCTTTTTTGTTTGTTTTTTGGTAAGTGTTTTACGGCGCTCGCAACTGCATAAGGTCATATGAGCGCGCGGGACGCATTAAACTTTTTCAGTTGGTAGGAAATTTTGAGTTTTGCCCGTGTGGTGGCCGAAGACCACTCTTATCGATTTTAGACCACCAAGGATCTTTAACGTGCGCAACTTGCACACTAATCCTCCGAGATTTTTCGCCCTTGTCCTAGAAGGCTAGCTGTAGATCTATCATACCAGAAGATCAGGAGTGTGGCTGAAAGACAGCAGTAAGAAGGAGCTAAGGAAAAGCAGTAGAAAGGCTGCAGAAAGAGTCAAGAGCCCAGAGGAGGGGGCAAAAGAGGTAAGGGGGGTGGAAGCAGAAAGAGGAGACGAAAGCAGACGACTGAACATTGCCAGAGAGCAGGGAAGGGGAAAGGAGACAATTTTAGAGAAGAAAATGTTTTCGGCCGCTTCCCGGATTCGAACCGGGGACCTTCGAATTAGAGGCGAACACCTTAACCTCTAGGCCACTAGAGCCCCCCAACTCTTGGCTGACCTGATCATTCTAATTCATCCATGGTTCTTCAAGGGGTGTGACGCAGCCTGGTAGCCTGTTAGGCTCAGCCAAATCCTTCACATAGATATTGATTTATGTCATCTCTTTGTTTCTTTCGTAGAACTATTATATGATCATTATATTATGATCGTTATTATCCGTACATTTCGTCTTAACCGAAACGTTTTCTGTCAACAGTTGCACACACACAACGGAGTCTTTGTTCTCGCAGTTTGACCATGGACTTGTTTGACTTACTCATAGCACGGAAATATTGAAACCGACGCTCCACGGGCACGTCATCAAAAGAGGAGCGTCGATTTCACTATTTCCGTGCTCCTCTTGACTTAAGCATCATGGGCAATATGAAAATAAAGGAGGACGGGGATTTGG